CTACTCTATTATTCCTATGATACAAAGATAAATGTTAAATATGGGAAAAAGCTACCAAAGATAATGGCATTTTCTCACCCTCAAAGACTTATTTGCACTATGCTGGGGCACTGGAGATTGTAAAGTAGGACCACAAGTAACAGCGTGTTTGAAACACCTGAGTGAAAATGCTGCTTCCTCCTTATGATATCACTACCTAACTGGACAGGTATGCTTTAAAAAGTCATTTTAAGGGAGAACATATTTGCCAAATAAAAATAAAAAGAGTAAATGATAAAGCCTAGAAGAGAGAGTCTAGAATGACTGCAGAAAGTAAGTGGGAAGAACTGGAGCGAGGCCTTTAGAAGCTGGTATTCAGACAAAGATCTGAAGGGAGACATTCTCAGCGCAAGGCACAGACTGAACGCGTGAAGAGGCAGTCAGTAAGAAAGCGGTTGTGGAGACAGTTACAGACACTAGTTGTCTTAGGCGGTGTGGGCTACTATAACAGGGAACTGTAGACCGGGTGACTCCCAGTGGAAATTCCTCGCAGTTCTGGAGCTGCCAAGTCCATGATCACAGTGCCAGCATGGCCCTGGCCTGTGAGGAGGGCCCTCTTCCAGGCTGCAGGGAGTGGGCTTCTCACTGTACCCTCACATGGGGGAAAGGGAATAAGCTAGCTGCCTGTTCTCTTCTGGGCACTAACTGCACTTATGAAGGCTCCATCCCCATGACCAATTTACCTCCTAAAGGTCCTACCCTCCAAGTACTGTCACAGAAGAAAGAGATTTCAACATATGAATGGCAGCGGGGGTGGGGAGGGGTACCCAACAGAGGGACACAAGCTCTCAGTCTGTAACACTAGTCTTCTGGGCACTAACTGCACTTATGAAGGCTCCATCCCCATGACCCATTTCCCTCCTAAAGGTCCTACCCTCCAAGTACTGTCACAGAAGAAAGAGATTTCAACATATGAATGGCAGCGGGTGGGGTGGGGAGGGGTACCCAACAGAGGGACACAAGCTCTCAGTCTGTAACACTAGTCTAGATAGACTGAAAGGTTCATTGTAGGAAAGCTGTGTGAAATCTTTTCTGCCAGAAAAGACTGTTTTTCTTCCAGAGGGCCTTCAACACTAGATTTAGGCATTCAATACTCCAGGGCAGTGGATAATCAAGTCCAAACTCTATAGACAATTCCTGAGAACTGACACTGCAGTGTCTCAGGTTTCCACATCTTCCCTTATTTATATCACTCGCCCTTCGATTTATCCCCGGAATCATCTCTTATTACTGTCAGACCCAGTGGCTTGAAAATCATGCTTTCTTGCCAGAGAAAGGGGGAGGGCAGAAAGCAACCCCCTATGGGGGGGGGGGGCGTTCACAACGGAATCCTTTTATCTCCATTCGTCTTTCCCATCAAGATTTCGAGCACACATGCACATGCACTTGCCATATTGTTCAGGCTGCTGGGGCCAGAATTCAAATCTCAATAAACCAGGTAGGCTCTGGCTGCCTAAACCACTGCACTTCAGGGCCAGCCTTTCTTGCTTTCAAATTTAAGACAGAGAGCATGCACAGGAGAGAGAGAAAGAGAGAGAGAGACAGACAGACAGACAGACACCCTCAACAGGGTTTGGGCACACCACAATCTGCTTTCCCCAGCCCTCCAGCTCACCAGGCTCTCGAGCACCTGCGTACATGCCTAGTACATTTTCAGCCAACTGGGGATCTGCACCAGCACTCAGGCATGTGGCCACGACCCAGGGCTAGCCAAAACTGGAAGCAGGTCACAGTATCAGGACCCTGTTGAGCTGCTGTCTTTCCCTTGCCTTTGTTGATGACATAAATAAATAAATAAACTTTCAAAAAGTACCCTGTTATGCTGTGGTATCACTTCTATGGAATTAGTGCCACCTCAATTAGATTTATTTACCTCCTATTCATCTCTTGCCCATCTTCCACTCTTCTGTGTCAGAACTGATGCTTAGTTTAAAAAATGATTATTACTAGATAGTGTGATATGGGTAATTCTTAAAACTATCTTATCTGAACTTAGCTTAACTTTTTAAAAAGGTATGTGTCTAATTTTATGAAAATATTAATTTAAAAATAAAAGGAAAAGGAAATTTTCCAAGTGGCATCTCCATTGTATAAATATGTATATTTACTTAGAGAAAGGAGACAAGTTTGCCAAATATTCTAGAGTACTCTGTACTACCCAGGTTGGGCCTCTTTTTTAATACTATCATCAATATAGAGAAGGTAAAACAACAGTGATGTTAAGATTATGCTTACTGCGGCTGGCAAGTGGCATGGTGGTTAAGGCACTGAACTCCCACATGGCTGACCATGGTTCAAGTCCCGACCTGGTGGTTTACTTTCTCGCCTTCCCTCTCTCTCTCTTTCTCTGTCTCTCTCTGGTCAAATTAAAATAATAGTAATAATAATAATAATAATAATAAATAAAGTTTAAATAAAAAGATTATGCTTACTTAATCCAATGTATCTGTGACCAAGCAGTAACACATTTAACCTCAAACCAGAAGTGAAATCAACAGGCAGGACGACCTCCATAGCAATGTGCCCCAAGCCTGATTCCATATTCAGAACTAGACACCACGACTAGGGGAGCAAGCGGATAAATTTACTTGGTATAACCATTCTAATAATCAAGGAAAGAAGAATTGAACCTCGGCTTGCCCAACATTAAATTTTACTCCATAATCCAAACAATACCTAGAAATCTACTCTTTGATGTCTGACAAAGATTGCTACAACTGGTCTGGTATTTCCAAAACAATATCTGCTGGTATGTGTGTGTATTTGTGTATAAAGTTTAATAAGTAAATAACAAGATACACATCCATCTGTGATAAAGTCCCTGCCATTTTGGATCTAGATTTGGTAACTGGCCTTATTACTACTACTACCACAATTCAGGAAAAAGATAAAACACCTCCCCATTGTCCTGACCCTTCAGTTTCCTTTGCTGACATAAAATAACAGTTATCACCTCTTTGAAAATTTCAATTCCATCCAATCATATTCTCACCAATGGAGCATCTAACTTTGCAGTTCTGATGACAGACTGAAACAGTAACACCATGAAAAGGAAAGTGAAATAAACTGTTTCCACCTGTCTAAACCACACCCCTGCCCCCATACTCTAGGTGTTTGTTTCACCAACAGATTAGATTAGCAGAACCTAACTAGACTAGCTCCTATTCAAACCACCCACAAAACCTGAGTTGTCCTGGTCTTCTCTCACTTCCTCCCCTCCCTGTCTCCTTCCTAACTTAAAACCACCTCACTCTGCTGTCCATCTTCCCCAACTGCTGCCCAACAATTCACAGGCTGTCACAGATTGTCAGCACTGCGTTTGGGGACCCGGGAAGTACTCTTGTGGGACAGCACAGTGTATTAGTACAGCATTTTCCGGGACACAATGTCACTCTTTATAGCCAGTTGCAAATTAGTTTCTTCTTAAAAAAAATACTTCTAATAAGACAGGTACAAGGAGACTTTAAATAACCAAGATTAAAACTCATTTTGGTCTGCTCTGAAATCGGAGCCATTTCAGCCGTGCACAATGAAATTCCATGCCCTCACTTACATAAGTCATGCACAATATAAAAAAGCTTCTTTAGATCACTTTCTAATGCTGACAAAAGCAAAAATACCAAAAAAGCAAAGGAGAATCTTACTTTCCTCTTTTTCTTCTGGGCCTGTGGCTTCTCTCTTGGATTCTACCTTTGAGAACACTTGGTTTAAACACAACTTTCAACATCAACACTTCCTTCTTGCTTCGTCTAACTGTTCAAAACCATATAAAAGCCAATTCTGCAAATCACCAGTATCATGTCATGATAATTTCCACTCGACTTTTGCCTGTTTCAGTAGCATATAGGTACAATAATTTCTGATGGTTGCTGTGACCAACCCTCTAGTTAGCCAAATCCTTCACCCTGTACATTAACCTCCCGGTTGCCACTGGCTGAGAGTAAACAGGGTCAGAAGCTAGAATACACTACAAGATCAGAGGATGGGTAAGAAAACCCCTAACAGGGCCAGCAGGTGGCATGGTGGTTAAAGCACTGGACTCCCAGATGGCTGACTGTTGTTCAAATCCTGGTGTTGGCAGCTTAAAAATCATGCCAGGGACATGTGCGAGTATACCCAAAATCCCAGGAGGAGAATGGAGAAGGAATCGCTACATGGCCATTCTCCCTCGGGTGACTTCTCACCTTCTCACCCTCAGGCCTTTCCTTCCCCCTTCTGCTTCTCCTTCTCCCTCACTTCTCCCAAGCACTCATGGGAAAAACTTAAAAAAAAAGGGGGGCGAGGAGGCAACAGGTGGCATAATGATTAAAGTGCTAGACTGCCACATGTTGGACTGCAGTTCGAGTCCTAGACTTGGTGCCTTGAAACTCACTCCAGGTGCGTACGTGTGCCCAAAACCCTAGAAGGAGAATGGAGAAGGGATTGCAGAATGGTATCTGCTTGGGGGGAGGGGTTTCCTCACCTTCCCTCTCACTGCCTCTCCCTGTCTCTCTCTGATGAGCACATGCACTCTATGGCAAAAACCTTTAGAAAGGAAAAAAGAAAAGAAAAGGAAAGGAAAGAAACTCCTTGCAAAGCAATAGATTACAGCAACTTACTGAATCTTTTTTTGGGAAAAATGTTTTAACTGAAAACAAAAACCTATAGGATAATAGTAAATCATTAAAATCAGCTTTATCTGATTAATCCAACACTGAAAATAAATTCCAAGATTTAATTAGCCCATTCTCAGCAAACACCAAATTAACACCCTATATAACAAAAACCCTGCATAATAAACACGAAAAGTAAAATGACAGTGAATAGAGGCAAGAAAATCTTTAAAAGACTTTAGGTCTTTCAGGAGGTTTCTAGCTACAAAATAAAATGACACTAAAGTAACAAATATAAGCAAACAATTATTTAGAATTATTTAAATAAACACTATTTCTATAAAATAAGCATAAGCATAGGCAACTTACCACACAAGTGACATCTATTTTTTGAATATTAAAACTCTGCAACATGCAGAGAAACTGTGTCTCAAGGCAATCTGCCCAAAAGTTCCTTCTGATAGACAGCAGCCTTACCTGGAAAAGAATAATTATTTTTATTAAAATACAGTTATTTGACACCTGTCGAGGTACTTAACTTTCATGATCTCATTTTGTAAACACTAAAGTTTAACATGGTGATCTGCCACAGAACATCCAATAAAGACAAACACAAAAACACTTTTAGAGCTCTTCAACAAAACCGAGTAAGAAACTTCCATAACTCATTCCAGAACTCTGAGGACTAGTGTTAGGGGACAGAAATGTTTACTAACCACCCTCAGACAAAGAGATAAGAAACATTTTGAAAAGGATTGGGCCAGATAGTGGCATGGTGGTTAAGGCAGCTGGATCCCACATGGCCAACTGAGCAATTCAAGTCCCAGATCCAGTGACTTGAAAACCATAGTGGGTACATGTGTGCGTGCCCAAAATCCCAAGAGGAGGATAGAGAAGGGACTGCAGCATGGCCATCCCCCACAGGGGACACTTACCCACCACCCCCGTGAGCACACGTGCTCTATAACAAACTGAGTAATAATACAAAGGATCAAAAAATTACTATATTTCTAACACATAAGACAGCTTACGGCACATGGTAAATGATCAATATCTGACTGGCTTAGCTAGCTAAAAACAAACCATATCAGTTAGCAAAGGAAAAATAAATCACAAAAGTTACAATGAAATGCAAAATAAAGGTACTCTTCTTGCCTATCAAGCTGGCAAAGATTAAAAAGAGACTGGCTGGGGCTGACAGATGGCCTGGTGGTTAAGGCACTGAACTCCCAAGTGACTGCCTGAGCTTTGAGTCCCGGACATGGCTGCTTACATTTTTACTCTCCCTCTCAATGCCTCACTTTCTCTCTCTGGCTCCAGTCAAATTTAAGAAGAAGAAATTAAATTAAATAAATAATTTTTGAAAAAGAGAGATGGATCGATGGGCAAGGTCCCATTCTGGTGAGTGTCAACAGAACAGGGCTCAAATACACTGCTGGAAATACACATTTTATTAATATAAAAAGCATTTTAACAATATGTTTTGGAAACTTATATATATCAAAGGGCCTTTGACAACGTAAATCTCTTTTGACGAATGTATCATAAAGAAATAACTATAAGGAAACTTCTATAAGGATACTTAGTCCAGTGCCGTTTTATTAATAGCTAAAAATGATAAATAACGTAATGTCCATCTATATGGGCCAGGTTAAATAAATTATGGTATATCCACAATACAGAAAAACATTGAAAAGAATAATATAGCTCTATAAATACTGGCATAAAGACCTATAAGACATATAACTGAATTTTTAAGAAGTAGAGAATTTTATAGACATACAAAACTATTATGAAGAAAATCTTAAAACATTTCTGAAAGACACAAAAGTAGATCTGAACAAACGAAGATATTCTTTTCTTAGATATAAAATTCTACACAACTCAACATCATAAAAATGTCAGTTCTCCCTAAAATAATTAATAAAAATAATGGTGAGCTTTTTTTCTAAATGCAGATAGATGGGCTGGTACTAAAATTCAACAGAAAGAAAAAGATGTAAAATTCAGAAAACATTAGAATTTTTAAAAAGCTAAGCTGTGATATACCATCAAGCCTCTACAACTGAATCAGTGCCAGAATAAAAGTCCAGAAATAGGGGGTAGAGTGGTGGCACAGTGGTAATGCATCTGGACACACACATCAAAGATTCTGGGTGCACGTCCCAGGAGGTCCCTGAGCACACAGGGTGCACACATGCACACCCAAGATCTAGGCTAGTTAAGGTAGGGTGGATCATGACATGAGACCCTTATTGTGGCTGCCTGTCTCCTAGTCTCTCTTTCTCTCTCTTTTCTCTCTTTCTCTCTCATGTGGAAGAAATAAATAACTTAAAATGAAAGAAAGTACAGAAATAAGCCAAATGGAAATTTCAATGTATGATAAAAGTGGCATCTAAAAAACCACTGGAACAAAATTCGTCTTTTTATTTTTATTTATTTATTTATTTATTTTTGGAAAGGTTTTTGCTACAGGGCATGTGCACACGCCGGAGAGAGACAGAGAGACAGAAAACTCATCTTTTAAAAAAAAAAAATGTTGAGATAACTAATTTGGAAATAAATCATTGAACACACATAAAATTCATTTACAAAAGCAACAAACCACAACAACAAAACTCCAAACGGATCAGGAATGCACAACTAAATTCATCTAAGTATTTCTTAGGAAACCATGGGTATAGGAAAAGATTTTCTAATATTAATCCAAAATTCAAAAGACTGAAAAACTGGACTATATAAAATGAAAGCCCAAACATATATGCACGCACATTATGAAAAAAAGTCAAAAGGTAACCAACAAACTGGGAGAAAATATTTGTAAAAATACATCACTGATAAAGAGCTAATATTCCTAAAATTAAAAAAATAATAATTAAAAATTAAGGGAGGTAAAAACAAAAATCTGACAGAAAAATGAAGATACAAGACAGCCATGCTAAATGTGTGTGTGTGTGTGCCCAAGATCCCGAGAGGAGAATGGAGGAGAAGGGATTGCAGCGTGGCCCTCCCCCCTGGGGGGTGATTTCTCACTTTCTGTCTCTCTGTCTCTGTCTGGCGAGCACATGCGCCCTATAGCAAAAAAAAAAACAAACAAAAAAAAAAAACTCCCATAAATAAATAAATATATTTTTAAAAGAAAAGAAAAAATGAAGATACAAGACAGTTCACACACAAGAACAAAATTTTAAATTACTTTTAAACATATAAAAAAGTGTTCAGCTTCACTAATAGAAATGAACAGTAAAACTATTTTGAGATGCCATTTGTTACCTATTAAGTTAGCAAAATATATTTTTTAAAGTATACCAGTAGGTTCTAACAGTGAGACGGGAAGGAAACTAACACTCTCATAAATTGCTGGTGGGTATTCAAATTTGTATAACCCCAAGAAAGGGATTTAACAATATTTAAGTAAACTATATATGCTTTTAGCTTCTGACCCAACTATTCTATTTTAAGAATTTACCTAACCTCCAACATATAAAAATACAAATAGATAAGGTTGCAGCACAATCTGTAAATGTAAAATATTGGAAGCAGCAGCAGAATACAAAAGAGTACCTATAGTATGCTACCTTTTGTATAAGAAAGAGAAAATACATGTATCTTAATCCTGAGGGGGAAAACATAAGGAAGAGTAACAGACAGAGCATATGATTCATATCTGTAGAGAATGGGTGGGCACAAGGCGGAAAGGAAAAGATAGATGGAAGATGTGACACCACACTGAGCATACAGGTTTTGTACAATTCTGACTTTAGGAACAAGTTAATGTTTCACATAATCAAGAATAAATAAAATCAATTAGGATAAAGGAAAAAAGCAGGTATTACAAATAAAAACAAATTAACAGAACTGTGTGTCAAATGAACAAAACCACCAACCACTAGGGCAAGGGAAGGAATGTTTAAGAAAGAAAGAAATCCAATGGAGATTAAGACTACAGTTTCTTAAACTAGAGAAAACGAACTATAAACAAACTCTAAACCTACTCACTAGGTGTCTTAGTCCACGACTGCACTGCTAACAGAAATACCTAAGACTGAGTGATTCATAAGAATAGAAGTATATCAGCTCACAGTCTGGAGGGCCACGGTCCAGGATCATCTTTTGGGGAGACAACAATATGGCTGAGGGCGAGATCTTCAGCACAGTAGCTGTCCATGCATTTCTGCGTATTCTGGTTTCCCTTACCCTCTTACAACATACCAGAACACAATCAGAGCCCTACCCTAGTAACTATCACACCCAAAGGTCCCATCCAGGGACACCATGAGAAATTAAATTTTCAGGTAAAACCTTTACTATTCAACCAAGACCCAATACATGAATTTCTCTGGGAGACCAAACTACAGAACTAGGTGTCTTTTAAACAGTGGAATGAGTTAGCAATTCTTACATTACTATATGAAATTCTAGAACTAAACCAGTAAGCAAAAATAAGAAAAACTGGGGCCAGTTTTTCCACTACTGGAAAAAGGTACTATAAATATGAAATGAAGAAAGGATACAATAAGCCCTTATATTTATGATCAGAGGTATCAGTGTAAGTTCACTGCTTTAAATAGACAGATAAAGATATACTACTGTGTGTATATACACACATAAACACACTTATCTATTTCCAAGATGTCTGCTGAGAGGGCCTAGAAGCAATGTCACCCAGTAGCATCTAAGTTCAGATCATGACTTAAAAAGCCATTCTATACTAAAATAAGAAATCCCTCATTTCCAGGTTGGGGGTACGAAAGTGAACCTGTATTATCTTTTTTGTATTATTATTTTTTCCAGAGGACACTGTGTACTTACCAAGAGAAAGAGACAGAGAGAGAGGGAAGAAGATACCCCCCCTTGGGGTGTGGTCATGGCAATCTCTTCTCCATTTCTCCATCCTGTAAGGATCTGAGGCATGTATGTGCACAAGGTCAGCATGTTTTTCAAGCTACTGGGGCTGGGATTCAAACTGTGGTATTGAAACCATGGCCATGTGGAATACAGTTCCCTTAACCCCTAGGCCATGGGGCCAGCCCATAGCTTGTACCTTCTTGTGGCAGAAAGTAAGGAAGTGCTCAAAAAAATAACAGGGGCAAATCAAAAGGAGACTGAAACTAGTTAGAAAGTGTTCCCACTGGCCAAATCAAGGACAGCATCAAAATAAAGCACTAATATGGGTAAACATAGAATGACAGAATTAGAAAAATCACCATTTAGAAACCATTAGGAAACTAGGAACCAGCAGTTAGTATAATGGCTATGTCACTGGATTCCCCCCATAGTCAACTGCCGTTCGCATCCTGGACCCGGTGGCTTAGAACTCACGCTGGGCGCGTGTGCGTGCGTGCCCAAGATCCCAAGAGGAGAATAGAGAAGGGATTGCGGCGTGACCACCCCCCCGGGGGGTGATTTCTCACTTTCTGTCTCTCTGTCTCTATCTGTCTGGCGAGCACACGCGCCCTATAGCGAAAACCTCTCAA